GATAATAGATGGATATCATCCATTTCTTTCCTTCTATTCTTCAAAAGTGTCTAGAAGATGCTACCTCAGGAAAACAAGAAAGTCTTATTAAGTTATTTGAAATAACCAATTTGATTGATAACAATAAAGAGATATCTCAAGAACAAAAAGAAAAGTATCGAATATATAAGAATCCAATAATACTTGATAGTATCAATCATTTTGTTTCATATAAAAGTGATGATGGGAGATATTATTGTCAAGTTATTACTTCATTATTGCCAGTGTTATTTGCTAAAAATGAGAGTATTTGTAAAGAACGATTAAAATATTGTTGGGTTATTTATTCCTTATTGATCAAATCAATTATTGGATATTTAAAAGATTATAAAGCATTTGATGCTCCTAATTTTCATGATTTTTGTTTTAGTGAACAAGGTAAGTATGTTGGATTTAATTTATCTACAAATATTTCTTTATGTTCTGACTTTATTTGTTTTTGTTCAGATTCAGGGATTGTAGAACCAAGTATAATTAGAGATGCTAATTTGTTCTTTGCTGAGTTCATTAGGGACTTAGCTATAATGTGGAGACATGATGAAATGGCTAAACTTGTTGACACTCATCTTGATCGTCTTTCAATGCTTAAAACAAATGATCCAGAAAGAATAAATTTTCAACAATTACTTCGTCTTGAATTTATTTCTGTATTAGCTGAAAGTGATAGGTTATATCAAATTAATGGACCACAACTACTTGAAATTAAAGAAATTAATAAATTAAATGATCAACTACAACAACGACACACTTTAATGTTTATTATTCTAAGACAATATTTCCAATTAATATTAACTCATGATAAAACAATTAGTAAAATGGCATTACAAGAATTAATTAATATTATGAATAAATATGACCTTGACAAACAATTTTCAACTCAAACAGAACGTGATAAATTCTTTAATATGATATTTCCATTTGTGTTATTTATTCTTGACGATTCAGAAAAGATTAATGAATGGAAAGCAAAAGACTGTTTAGCAGATTTATATGATATTGAAACACTTTATATTATTTTCTTCTTCATTCTTAAAAATTTAAAAGAAGAAACTGTTCAACAATGGTTAGTTTCTGATTTCCTTCCAAGTCTTCTTAATTCATTACTAACTCATATCAGAAAAGCATTACTATTATTTAGTAGATATCCAAATACATTTATTCCTAATGCATCAAAAACTTATATTAAGGAATTAACAATAATGCTTAATGGTATATCAAAAAGTGCTCCGAGTTCTAAAACTCCTTCACCTGGGTTAAACAGAAACCAATCTTCAACTAAACTACATCCAGGATTAGGACTTGGTGTTTCTGGAAGAAGATCACTATTATTAAAAAAACCTGTAGAAATACCATCTGAAGAAATTCTACAATCACCTAGAAAAGGAGAACGGTCAAGCCCATCTTTAGATGGAACCAAAAAAATAACTGGATTTATGGAAAGATCAGGAAATGCACAATTTTTAGGAGGAAGAAATAGATCTAATTTGATGACATCATCAGAAAGTAATAATAATACAGGTAGAAGTACTGAAGATGATTTAATTATTGACATTGCATTAATTTCAATGGACTTTGTTGAAACTATCATTGGGGTATTAGTAAATGAAGAAAATACTCAAGCACTTGAAAGGGCACAAGAAATAATTTCATCAGTACTTTTTGAAGTTAAACCAAATGATAGTTATCTTATTAGTCTATATGAATTTATTAGAACTATGATTATAACATATAAAGAATTCATTTTTAAAAGACCAAACAACTTAGCTTTGAATTTACTAAAAAATTTATTACGATTTTCTAATTCAGCTACTAAAAACCAAAAGAATTTTGCTAATAACTTAATCTTCATCTTTGCTAAAACAAATTTCATTGTTACAGGAAATACAGTTGCTACAATAGTTAATGCTACAAGTGCTTTATCAGAACTTCAACTTAATGATGTTCATAATATTGAAGAATCAATTAAAGGTTTAGTTAATTTAGCAGAAAAGTATCATGATAATTTTAATAATAAACTTCAAAAATGCATTGAGTTATCACTTAATGAAGGGGTTAGAAGAAATAAATCATTAAAACGAGTTCAACGATTATATAAAGCAATTGATGCAGGTGATCTTGATGTTTTTATTACATTTGTTTTAGATTGTATTAATGTATTAAATGGATTACTTGACTTTACAATGAATGCAGAACCAACAATAATAAATGGATACATTGGAATGAAAAGAGATTTAGTTAAAATGTTTAAAACGAATGAGAACTCTAAAATGGTTAAATGTTGGATAGAATTTATTGAAGGTAAAGCTATGAATATTAATGAAACATTTAATGGGTTTCTTGAAGAAAAAATTAAAGAAATTAACATTCAATATAATAATTGTATTGAAAAAATTAATTTATTAGAAGGAAAATGTGATATCAATGAAAAGGAAATGAAAGATTTAGAAGAAAAATGTAAGACTAATAAAAAAATTGGAGAACAATTATTAGATTGGGCAAAGAGATCACTCTCTATTGATAGTTGTGAATTAGAGTCATTCGATGATGTACAATTAATTAGAAAGATTGAAGAGTTAGAAAAAGAACAAACAAAAAGAACAAATGAAGTTAAAACTATGTTAGATGAATACACTTCATTTGATAAAACACTAACAACATTTAAATTATCTTCTAATCCATTATTCCCTGTTACTAGTCAAGAAATGAGTGATGGGGTTAGAAAAGTTCTTCAATTACATCAGTCAAGAATTAAAGCTGTTAATAGTCATTTACAAACAAGAACATCGTATGACTCAGAAAAGGAAAGGTATACTAGTAAAATCCGTTCATTTGAAATGGTGATAGAAAGAAAATATTTTGATATTTGTGATGATATTATGACGTTACCATTTAATAAAATTTTCTTAAAAGAGTCTATAGATAAATTAAAAGGATTAAATCAAGTATATGTTAGTGATATCAATAAACTTACTCATAAGAAAGAAAAAGTTGGAGGACTAAAACCGTCATGGGAAATTGCTTATTGCAGTTGGGAAGAAAGTATTAGTTATGCTATATCAGTCGTCGAATGGTTAGCACAATTAATAGAAAATGTTAAAAATAATGAAGAAAACATATTGCAAATGAAGAAATGGTATGATAATGAAAGAATATTTGTTAAAACAGTAGTGTCAGCATATTTATGGGATGGACTATATATTTCATTAGATAAAGTTACTATGAGACAATCCAATGATTATTTGAACACTCTTGCTAAAGTTTCACAATATTTATTGAACCATGTCAAGGAAGCAGAAAAACAATATGAAGATTCAAATCATTTAATTGAAGATTTAAGAAAAAGAAAGAAATTACCAATAGGATTTAAATATCTTCAGATGGTACAACAAGAACATTTTCAAGAAGTAGAACCTTTAACAAAGTCATTTGTTGATAAATGGAAAGAAGAAGAAAAAGTAGAAAAAATTAGAAAAGATTACGCAACACTATTTGAAGAATTCTTTAATGAAACTGATAAAATTTCTAACACAGAACCATCAAAAGTTCCTGGCTCAGTTATTCAAAAAGTACAAAGTTTAAGAGATAAGTTATTAATTTATGACGAACAGAAAATAGATAAATTAAATAGATATTGTGACTTAAAAAGAAGTGAACAAACAGTTTGGGCTAGATGTTCTGCTTTAGGTATTCCTGAAAAAGAGGTAAAACAAGAAAAAGAAAATAATACTATTAAGTCTCCAAGAAGTCCAAGAAATTCCCTTTACCTATACAATGGTAGAAGTCCTAATCTTCAAACTTCACAAACTGGATTCCAAAGAGGAACAAGAAGAGGAGATGAAAATAAAGATATTATTGGATATTTTATTACAAATGAAGAAAATGTTAAACCAGATTGTTTCTATGATCTCTCTGTTGGTCAAAGAGAAGCATTTGATAAAGATTTAAAGGTTGTACAAGATGATATTGTGAAAATATTGAATAATTTGAATAACCTCAATGAATTAAAGAATCAATCACAAGACCCACAGTTTGCACTTGGTAGATATTATCAATTTGCTATGGACTATGTTTCTGCACCTCAACTACATATGACTTGGATTGCAAAATTAGCAAACGAGCATAGAACAAAACAACAATTTGTTGAAGCAGGACTATGTGAAGTTCATTTAATACTTTTCATTCACCATTTATTACCAAGTGAGTTAGTGTCAATCAATGTTGATTCTTTAAAAACAACTTTTGGTAAATTCGTTCGTAATACTTCCGTTCCTCCTAATCCACAATTTACTGCTCACCTTACAGAAGAAATGATTCTTCAACACATTACTGCTGCATGCCATGATTTTGAACAAGGTCATATGCCATGGTATGGATTAACTGTGGCATCAGTTGTTATTCCATATTACATTAAAAAGAATAAATATAAAGAATTAGGTAATACTCATGACTTTGTTAATAGGATGTACGATTCATTGATAAAACATAACGGTGATGGTGTTGTAAGAGACTATCTTCAATTTTATTATGTTAGATTATTCGGAAAAGTATTTGGACCAGAGTTAAATAGATGTTCATTTGTTTATTCTTCAACAAAAGAAAGAATGTCGTATTTATTAAAAGAAGTCACTGATATTCTTCCACCATCTTTTACTGGGGAAAAACATATTTTACGTTCCTTAGATCAAGTCAATGATACAGTGCTGAATGCACCAGATAATGAATGTTATATTCTTTGGACTCAAGTTCAACCAGTTTATGATAATGGAGATTTCATTCAATATAGTTCAACATTTAATTTTGATGAGCTATGTGTTAATAGAGAAGAAGGAGAAGAAATGCTATCAACATCAAATGCTCCAGCATTGAGTTTGTTTAAAAAGAGAACAACCTTACAAACAGATTTTGTATTACCTAGTTTATTAAAAAGACAAAATGTTATAAATCAAAGTGTTATTTATTTAACTCCAATAGAAATAATCATTGAAGAAATTCAAAAGAGAAAGAAAAATATAGATTATTTCCTTTCAGAAAGTAAAAAGTTCTTTGGAGAAGTTGCTTTTGATATTATAAGTTTCTTACAGAAGAGTATCGGTGATTATTTCTTTGGTTCAAATGATACTCCAGTTGGTAAGTCAAATGTCTTTAATACCATGAAAATTATTGATGTTTTAGATATTTTTTACAAAGACTTAGACCGTTTTGACATGGTGTTATACAATAAATTGTTTGATATTTTAAAAGAATCTACTAATTGTTGTTCTGAAGCCCTTGCAGTTATCAAAGAGAATTCAAAAATTAGAAAGAGTAGTGCTAATTTAGAAAAGATTGAACGTGAATTACCAAGAATTGATAAAGTTCTTGATGACATAGAAAAGAGATTAGAAGAGAAAAAGGAGGATGTCATCGCATGATAATTCATAGGCATTCTGTTTTATTCAATTGATTTTTAATTTCAATATAATATTATTTTATAGTTTGTATTGTTTGGTAATTCAAATAAGTATAAGTAATAATAAACACTCATTATTAAATTCTTTAATACACAACACTAATTGAATAACGTTTTCAATCATTTATTATTTATGAATAATTATTAATGAAATGAATGAATATATTTTGTGATTGTTTTGGTATCATTAAAACACAATGAAAAAAAACAAAAACTAATAAATTAAGTTTTAGAAGATTTTGTTTTATCTACTTCATTTACTCAGATGAGATTACATCATTCAGTCTCTAATGAATAAATTGCCCGTGAGGTACTTCTATATCTCTATATTCATTTCTATGATATCCACAGTGTTTCATTAATTTTTTCTTGTTTTTAATTATTATATCTTTTACCATCATTTCATATACAATTATTATACCTTGTTCTTTTAACATTCTTACTGCTCTTTATTGATTAATCAATTTGTTGTTATTACTACTGGAATTACATTCATTTTAATTTATTAAATTGTCTTATTTTTTCTTGGAGAGTTCTATACATTTCAAATTTGTTAGTAAATGCTAGACTTATCTTCTTATCACATGTTATTGACATATCAACTATTATTCCTAGTTGTTTTATTTTATCTTCTATATAAATATCTGGTATTTTATGAAATATTCACTTTTATTAACTATTTATTGATTCAATACAATGAATACTTCATTATTTTCAATTCTTATTTTGAATTACCCATTTCATTTTTATTGAATATTAATTTCATGTTATTCTCTCTTGTTTTCTTCTCTATTTCATCATCATTCATTATATTTATTTTATATTTTAATTTATCACATCTCCAGATATATTCTCTTATTAATTCATGTTTATCGATTTATACATTCTTATTTACAATATAATTTAATAATATATGTTTAATTGATGATATTTTATCATTACAAATACTATATCACTTTAATTTATTATTTCATGTAATCAATGCTTTCTTAATCCTACAAATGTACCATTTTCTTAAATTAATTTTAATTATTTATATTAATTTCTTTTTATATTAATATACTTCATTATTTTAACTGAACAAAATAAAAAAAAATAAAAACTAAAAAAACATAAAAAAATTTATATGAAAGCAGTTATTATCTTTTTTGTGGTTGCTCTTGTTTATGCTAATAAACAGGGGTTAGTTCAGTTAAATAAAAGTAATCATGAACTCGTATTAAAGCAAAATAAGAACGTTATTGTTAAATTCTTTTCACCATATTGTCCACATTGCGTACGTTTTAGTCCAATCTATTCTGAATTTGCAGTAAAAATGCAAAGTGAAGAAAATTTAGTTGTTGCTGAATTAAATTGTGTTGACTTTAGGGACTTATGTGGGTTCTATAAAATTAGAGGATATCCAACTGTGAATTTTTATCATAACGGTGAATTTGCTGAGAGATTTGGACAACAAAGAACTGTTGATAATTTAGTTGAATTTTCTAAGAGGAATATGAAATAATTCAATTAATATCTTCATTATTTTATTATTTTAAATCTAAGTATTCATCTGCTTGGTGACTTTGTGCAACTAAACGATCAAACTTTTCTTCTTCTCTTTTGATTTGTTGATTTGCATATTTTCCTTTTTGAATCATACGGTCTATATTTTTGATGTCGTGTTGTGTTAGTTCTAATGAATTGTTTGCGTTTTGTAAAGCCTGTTGATAAATAGCATCTCTTTCATCTTGGTTTAAACTTTGAGTTGATTCTTCTTGTTGAAGATAGTTTTCCATTAATGAGATTTCATTGTCAATAGCTGTTTGTTGTGTTCTTTTTTGAGGAATAACAGGTAATGATTTTTGAATTGGTTTTTGTTGGGCAAGTTGCTCTTTTTTGACGTCACAATATACTTGATTTAAGATCTCATCAACTTGACCATCAAAGTCTTTGTCATCTGATATTTTGTAAATGTCTTGAGGAATATAATCATTTGATGGTATTTGATATGTTGGCTGAACCATAACATATTCTTTTTGGTTATCTTTATTTATTGAAGAAGGGAAAGACGTCACTTGTTTTGATTGAACTTGTTGTTCTAATAAATTAACTCGGTCTTTGTACATTTTTAAGGCATCAATACATTGACTCAATATACTTTCATCTTTAACAAAAGCTAATTTTTGCGAAAGTTCTTCAATACCATTTTTGTATGAGTTAATTGCTTCTTGTCTCATTCCATTGTTTTCTAGTTCAATAGCCTTTTTGAATGTTTGAATTGAATGTTCAATAATTTCCATTTAACACTATTTAAATTTTAAGTTCACACTGTTTTTTCTAAGAACTAAAAAACAATAAAATTCAAAGTAAAAATGCAATGAAAAGAAGGAATGAAACTATGGAAGTAATTGTAGTATGGTTTTTTGTTCGTTGATTTATATGAACTCTTTTTTGGGTATTGAAGATATAATCTTTCGAACGACACATCATTCCTAATGGCGAATTTTCTCCTTTACATCCTAATTTTCCTGAAATGATG